TGAGAAAAGCCTTGAGTCTACAGTAGACTCCATTTTAAAACTCCATTTTAAAACCTGCCTGCCTGCATCAACAACCAGCAACCATTATTACAGCAAACAGATCCCCAAAGAAAGAAATACTTTGAGGCCACATTTTAAACCCACACATTTTAAAACACAAACCCTAAAAGGCACAGAATGCAAAAATAAATAAATACATTTTACATTTTAAAATTACAGTCTAATTTTCATATTTAATTTTAATTTAATATTACAATCTTCTTTTCAGATTTTAAATCCATACTGCAAGACCCATCAGAGCACAGAAACATAACCCCCACCTAGCCCTACCCCCCACCAATCTGCAAAAAGCCCTGTACACAGTACAGTAAATACTGTAGAGTGTATGTACTCACCCAGTCTCTCTGTTTTAAAAAAAAACTCAAAAATAAAAAAGCCAAAAAAATACAGTACGTACAATACAGTACCAGGCAGTCTGAAGAATCTCTCCCTATCCACTCTCTAACTGCTGGGGCGAGCAAGGTAGCAGACAAGCAGCCTCTTTGCTGGCCAACGGTTAACTAAAAGTTCAAATTTCACGCTTTCCCCGCCTGGCCCACGTTGGGTTTTTTTGTAACTTGTAGCTCCGGCCGCACGTCGAAGCAATATTTTGCAGCTGGAGCTTTTCATATCTCAAAATTTTTGCAACTAGGGACGTTCATAAGTCGAGGCACCACTGTATATACAATAATCTATACAGCTCTGCACTGTTATCCTACTCTTTCTTTCTTCCATATGCTCCTATCAGTCTTACCATATTATCTTTTAAGACATCCTTCCCAAAATGTTAAGCAGGGAGTTAAAAAAAAACTGCCATAGGGTTTCTCATCATACTTCCTAGCTGAGTAGAGCTTTGAACTAAGGAGTATTGTATAGTTATTGTTTTGACCACTTTGGTCATCCAACTTCCACCAATTTAAAACATAAGTATAAATAATAATATATACACAAGCATGGTGCCAACAGAACAAACGCAATGCTAGCAGATTAAAATGTACAAATATAAATACGTACATTATCCAAAATGCTGGGTTAAAAACAAAATACATAAGATTACAGTAACATGTACACATAATTCAAATATTAAAAGCCAAGTCATTTCATGTGGGTCTTCAGATCAGGTATGATGTATTCCCACGAGGTAAAAGTTTATTATAGCTACTGGCCATTAAAACTATGAACATATACATTAAAATACACAATAAAATGATACAGTGGTGCCCCGCATAGCGACGATAATCCGTTCCAGGAAAATCGTCACTATCCGGAATCGTTGCTGTTCAGAACAAAAAAAACCATAGGAACGCATTAAACCCCGTTTAATGCGTTCCTGTGGGGGGAAACTCACCGCTAAACGGAAATCCTCCATCCGGCCGCCTTTTTTGCTCCCTGGTAAGCGAGGAAAGGACGCGAAAACGCTGCGGGTGGCCATTTGGGTGGTTGGGACCCAAGCGCAGGTGCGGAGGCACGCGGGCCAGAGACAAGAGGCCGCGCGCGGGGAGGCGTGCGCGCACTCACAATGGAGGGACGCCGAGCTTTCTAAACATTGCAGTGCGATAATCGGTAAGCAAAACGCTTACTGATCATCGCAATATGATTTTTTTAGCCATTAAAACCATCGCATTGCAATGGCTTTTGCTATCGCAAAATCCACATTGCTATGTGGATTTGTCGTTAAATGGGGGGCTCGCCTTGCGGGGCACCACTGTATAACAATAGTAAGGTTGTACATCTGATAAACTATATAGAGTCTAATCAGCTTTATATCCTATACCATATATCTACTACTTCCTATTCTATCCTCATTATTTAGCTAGTTATCTCTTAGTTTTATCGCCAGCCGTCCAAATCTGGCCACTTTGTTATCTCTTTATTCTTATCCTCCAAAAGCTTCTGTAGGTACTCCTTTCTATCTCTGCCATCTAAGGAAGGAATACTAGGTTTAATGAGTCTGACACTATAACCATTAGATTAATGCAGCCGTCTCTATTCCACATCCATACATTTATGCTGTCTTTTGCAGTCTTAATTTCTTAAACAGTTTAAACACTGACTTTCTGTAAGCAGATCTTAGAAACAACTCCAGGAACCTCTCAGCCAGCATGCTCAGTGGAATTTTGGGAGTTGTGGTCCGAAAAAGTACTTTTTCCAACCTGTGGTCTAAACATTTGTGCAGAGAGCGAAGGAACTAAGACTAGTAGCTGGACAGACATTTTAAAAATTCTTTTAAAATTGAAAGTGTCCTAGGAATATTAACTTTAACCGAACACCTTTTTTCCCCCTTTTAAAAAAAACCTTAGGATTTTGTACCACTTTATCAAGATTTTGAAAACTTTTATACAAGAAACCTGTACATGAGAATAAGGGACAACTGGAATCGCCCTATCTGCAGTGCTCCAGGACCAAAATTCAACCTGTTGGAACGTGTTTCAGATGACTACAACTGGACATTTAGGTGGGTCAGGCTAGTAAGTATAGGTAATGATCCATTCTTACTTATCTACCTACCTACCTACCAACTTCAAAGCAAACTTTTTAAAATTATAATTATTTTTATTCAAAGTTGCTTATTATTATTGTTGTTGTTGTTGTTGTTGTTGTTGTTGTTGTTGTTGTTATTATTATTTAATTTTTAATTTTTAATTAATTATTATTAATTATTATTAAAATCTATCTGTGCTTATTTAACATTGTGTCTCCTAGGTTCTGCTTATAATCATTTGTTAATACAGCTATCGTACAGTACATATTAAGTCCTTATTCTATACAGCGTGCTTCTAGCCATTGATAAAACTGATTCCAAGTTTGATAGTATTCTGAATCTTCCTTCCCTTTGATTATTATTACGATTATTGTTTCCAGTCAGATCAGTGTAATTTCAATCATTAAAAAAAACTATATCCACTTTTTCCTTTCCTTTTTTCTCTACTTCCCCCACTTTAGTCAAGTCTTGATTTTTCTTTGAGGCAAGGTACAATTTTTTTTTTTTACAATGTCCAAGAGTATTAGCTTCTTTAGAAATAAAAGTAAATCTTTCTCCACTTATACTTTGCATTGCTACCCTTTCGAACATGGGATAGTAAAGTATGAAGTATATACTGTAAAGTATAAACAAAATGATCAGGAGATAGTGTTCAGTTCTTTGCTCCCAGAAAACATAGTTTATATTTATCGAAATAAGCATCCATGGTAACAGTTGGTCCACATTAAGCTAGGACAGAAACTTATTTCTCTTTACATAGATGGTTTTTAAAAATCAAATATCAGAAACATTATAATTCAGTGTTATATAATAAACATTTTCCACAATTGTAGGTTCACTGGCAGGATAATTAAGGATGTCATCAACATGGGTTCATATAACTACCTCGGCTTTGCAGAAACGGACCCCAATGCTTTGAAAACTGTGAACGCTATGTTACATAAATATGGCACAGGAGTATGTAGCACCAGACAGGAAATGGGTAAGGATAATGGTCTTTTTTTTTTCTCACTTACTGGATCTCTACGTAAGTGGTTCCTCTTTAGAATCTGTGTAGAATAACAATTGAAGATTATAGATCTTAATTTGAAAGGAATTCTTTTACAGCAATAACCTTCTCCTTGTATTGGTGCCCGTGCCTACTCCCTTCCCACTGCGAAATAAAAGTTATTAGATTGTGAACAACTATGTGGCAGAACTATGGTCTTTGAAATGGCAGGGATTTTCTGTGTGCAACTTCATTCTTAAAATGGTGTCTTAATTTCCAATTTCCCCAATCAGAAACAACTTCAGTATAGAGACTCTGTAGCAGTGGTCCCCAACCACAGATTGGTTGGGTGTGTGTGGCACAACCACAGGGGGGCAGAGCTCACACACGCATATGGGGAGCGCACTCACAGGGGGCGGAACGCACTCATGTGCATGCATGCGACTGCACTCGCAGGGGGGGTAGAAGATCTGTGTACAAGCCCGGTCCTGGATAGGCTATGGACCGCTGCCGGTTTGCACACCAGGGGTTGGGAACCTCTTCTGTGTAGACAGGGTATTTAGTGTTTTTTCAAAGACAGCAGTCTTACATCAGCATTGTTGAACACAATAATTTTAAAAATTCACTGTTTTAAAATTTGCCCAAATTTTGCATTAGACTGCATCAAAGCAGTTCCAATAGTACATAATTCTTTGAAGGCTTTGTTAACACATGTTCTGGTGAGCTTGAACAAGTGAATAATATCTTGCTAATTCCGTTATCTTGTCCCAGTTCTTGTCCAGTTCATTCCCCCACCTGCCTACAAGCTGTTACAACCCATCCATTGCTTTGAAATGATTGCATGAAGAATTTTTGCTGTGAAGTCGGCCACTCTCAAATATAACCAGCAACAGTATTGTTCTGTACTGTACTGTTCTGGCTACTCATCTTCTTTAAGCCATGACATCCAGGAGAACAGTTGTTGTGTCTTTTGAGATTTGAACTGTCCAGTTTCTAGCTTTGCAACACCTTGCTTTCATTTAGCTTTCTATTTGTGGCAGTTTTTTGGTGCTGGAAGTAAGGCCATTTCTGTCTCTAAAAGCAACTGTCTTGTGTAATTCAGCAAAGTAAAAATATCCATTAGCAAGCATCTAGTTGGAAATCCTTAGTATAATTAATATCATGCCATCAAGACAATTCCTAGGTATAGGGTCCTTAGGAATGTTCTACCATTCCATTTCCTGGGAATGTGCAGTTTGCCAAAGGCTTCATGGGCTTGCATTTCTCCCAGGAAGCACAATAAAGAATCAAACTCCTGATCTGCAGCTCTGCAGCCAGGAACCTAGTTGACTGAACTATCCATCCAGTTTGGAAATCCTTAGGACTACCTGGTGTTAGAGTAAGTGTCAAAAATGTTGCAACAAACTTATTTTTCTTTAGGTTGATCAATATAGTTTTTGAGTGATTACAAAAACATGTTAATATAATAAAGTTTCAGAAAGCCGATCAATAACATTGCGTTGTTTTTACTTGTCATCAAGTTGCCTCTTACGGTGACTTTATGAATGTCTCCAAAATGTCCTATCCTCAGCAGCCCTGCTCAGCTCTTGTAAACCCAAGGTCATGGCTTACTTTATGGAATCAATTTATCTTGAATTTGTTCTTCTTTTCCTGCTGTCTTCAACTTTTCCCAGCATTATTGACATTTCCAGAGAATCCTGTCTTCTCATGCCTTGGTTTCATCATTTTTGCCTCCCAAGATAGTTCAAGTTTGATTTGCTCTGCAACCTACTAGTTAGTCTTTCTGGCAGTCTGCGGTATCTGCAAAACTGGTATCACTTTTCAAACATTTTTTTCCTGTCCGCTTTTTTGACTGTCCAGCTTTCGCACCCATACGTAGTGATTAGGGATACAATATTGGGGATGATCTTAGTCTTAGTCTCCAGTGATACATCCTTACATTAGATGATGTATATCTTTTCTATTTCATTCATTGGAGTCATGCTTTTCATCTGTGTAAGCCATTTAAATAAATCACGAGGGTCCCTGTATCATTTAAAGCAAAACAAAGCATGCTGCTTATTTACCACCCCATAGTGCTTCAGGCACCCTCTGGGCAGTTTACAAGTTAGTTATGCAGGCTACACATTGCCCCCCCCCCAGCAAGCTGGGTACTCATTTTACCGACCTCGGAAGGATAGAAGGCTAAGTCAACCTTGAGCCGGCTACCTGGGATTGAACCCCGGGTCGTGAGCACAGTTTTGCCTGCAGTACAGCCGTTTAACCACTGCGCCACGAGGTGGTCAAAGACAGAAGCAGCCTTCTAGCCATTTTGGCTTTTTGGGTGTGCGTGTGTGTTATTTTGTACTTATGGTTGTCTGTGTGATCCCTGGAGGTTCCCTAGGTAGAACATGGCCCTAGTCCTACAAGAGGCACCTGATCTACTTTAATATGTAGAGAAACAAGCCCTGGGCAAATTGTAACCCTGGTGATATCTCTTAATCCCATATTAAGAGAAGGCAGACTATGGCTTCAGGTGCCCCTACTGCTCTTCTTGGGTGTTTAATCTTAATTAATGTTAATCAAGGTTTTCTCACGGTAAACTCAAAGCCACTTAGTTAGCCCTAGTTAACATTAATAAGATATAACAATATCTGTGAGGGAAGTCCTTTATAGCCACTTTGTGTAAGCCATTTTTCTATGGGTCTGTTTAAAAACTTTCAAGGTAACTACAAGAAAAACAATATTTTTCATTGCTTCCTCTTAAAGAACTGGTCAAGACAAGCACTTCAGACAAACCAATGCAAATGTTTTTCTCTCTCTTTTTTAAATGATGAAGTGTTTAAGCGATAATCTGCCAGGGTCTTTTTTTTAAAAAATTGCTTTCCCTGTCCCTCCACCAAGGAGTAGGGGAAGTGTCCAATTTGCCAATATCCTGAAGTAGCTTGCTTCTTAAGCCACTTCAAGCTGAAAAAGCAGGGTTTCCTGTTACCCCAGTGGGTAGGAGGGCATAACTGAAGCTTCTCTCAGAGTCAAGGCAAGCTAAGGCCTAAAGGCCCCAGAACGGTCAAAATCTGCAAAAGTAAAAATTTCACAAGAAAAAGTGAACTGAAAAGCATCTGCATGTGAGCATGGATGTGAGTGTGAAAGAACAGGACTCTGAATCCCAAACAACAACTGCTTTTTGCTCTACTTGTACCCCTAGGTTTCCAGCATTCTGGCTGACATCTTTACCCCTCAAATTCAGTTCTACATTGGTAGATGGCAAACTGAGAGAGAAAGTTCATTGCACCACATTTCTTTATTCCCGGAAAGTAAATCACCCCTTTGTCCTGCGGCACATAATGAGACCATAGCATCTTATCAGGGTACACTATGGGCCTGGAGCCCCTGAAAATATTCAGCCTTGTAGCCTTTCCATACTGTTCCATTCTCTTCCAGCTCAGGCAGAGCCTTGTTGCCACAGAAATCATGTATCAGTCTTTTTCTTATTCAGTCCATCATTCAAAAGTCCAAGCTGGAATGAATCCTCAGCCCTTTTTGCCAATAGGAAACAGTAAGTTATGCTGTGTATGAAACAAAACCAAAGATTTCCTCAATGCCATTCCACAGGTCAGTAGGCCATTCCATAAGGCATATATCTTCAGGGCAGTTCACTCCTTATGTCCACAGACCACAGAGCTATGTTGGTATTCCCAGATTGCTTTGCTACTACCCCTGTTCGTTATTGTAGGAAACCTAGTCATGCAGCTTTCTATAACAAAGCAAAGTATACAAGCTGTTTGAATTTCTAGATCTGTGTTTGATGGTTCTTTGCATAATATAAAAAGAAATATGAATAAATAAAAGACTGTAACTCCATAACCAGATTCATAACCAAATAGCATCCTTCTTAGTTGGTGAGTGGAATGGGTGGGAAATATTTCATTTTGCCATCCAGAAAAGCAAATGGAGCTGTGATGGGAAAACATTTGATCTTCCTAATGTTTTCAACATACAATCTTGGAAGCCTCTTTTCATATGGCCAAAGGTAGGGATTATGACAGTTATCATTCTATCATATTTTGAGGGCCAAAAAGCAGCTTTAAGCTAGATGAAAACCAACTAGCCTGCCTGCCTGCCTTCCTCCCCTGCCGGCATCGCCCCGCATCACTCACTCAACAGCGGTGGCGGCGGTTCCTTCCTGGCCCAACTGAAGTGCACCTGGCGTATAAGATGACCCTCCAACTTGGAGGCATGTTTTTTGGGCGAAAAAAGTTGTCTTATACGCCAGCAAATATGGTAACAGATTTTAACATCCTTAGCTCTTCTGCTATTGGGCTGTAGTTCTTCCATGAAGTGCAGTGTTTCAAAAGGATTTGTTGTGCTTTGTATATACTGTACTAAGCATATACATTCCTGCTTAGTGAGTCTTGGAAATCAGAGTTAGTTACAGCTGTGCTTTAGTTCCATCCTTTTTGCATTGAAATAAGACACAGGAATTTGATGAAACACAATTGTGCTTTTCATCCTCACCCAGCAGGTCTTCTCACAAACCTCCCAGTGATAAGATCTGCTTGGTGCCTCTTAGTTTTATTCAACACCTCACCTACCACCCACAGAGGTTCCACGCCAGTTAGAAAGATGCACAGCAAAAGGGCTGGTCTTGCACACCCTTGTCAATCAGGTTTGGCTTTTACAAAACTGAAGCAAAAAAATCTGTTCTCATTCATTGTGGTCCAGGAGAATGATCAGTTAGATTTTTGAGATGATGGTGTGCTTTCATAACATCATACTTTCATAATCTTATGAAGGTGACCTTGCTAAGTGTGTGAAATGGCATTGGAATGATTTATTACAGTAGCCTAATATGTTTAGTTAAGCAACCTGTTACACAATAATGCAATGGATGTCTCCTGCCACATTATTGGTGCTATAACCAAGACTAAAGATGGGCACAAACTAACCAGAAAACCAAACTGATTTGTGGTTCAGTTTTCGGTTTGTGCCCGGGAGGGGGGTACCTTCTCCTGTCTCCACTTCGCCACCATCATTGTGCCACCACTGATGCCATCATCATACTGCCAATAGCAATGCCTTCCAGGAGCCTAGGTACTGCCTTCTGCCCATGTGCCCAACCCCCAGCTGACTGCCCTGATCAGCTGGGTGGCGGGCACGTGCACAGAGACAGCAGGCCTAGCTCCTGGAAGGGAAGCTGGCGTGCTATCTCCGATGATGGCAGCAATGATGGAGGCAACAGTGGTGGTGGCAGAACCAGTTGAAGAGGTGACAGGGGCAATGGGAAGGGCACAGGTGGGTGTCCGTTTTGCTGATGCAAACTGAAGTCTGAGGGGGGGGGAAGGTTTGACACTTCATTTTACTTCCACAAAACAGGATCCCCAAACTGGGTTGTGGACGGAACCACAAAACAGCCCGATTTATTTGTTTTTCTGGTCGATAGTTCAGTTCACACCCATCTTTAACCAAGACATGGGCCCATCCTGAATGTCCCACAGATGTCTGTCCTTACCTCAGGTGTGATAAATGTAACCTCTTCCCTCTGAACAGTTCAAACTACTTAAAGATGATGCCCCAGTGATGTATCCACATGCTACCAGATTATAATCTGTCCTGCCATTGCGGGCAACTTTCTTTGTGCAATATCAACCCTGCCAAGTTGCCCGACACACCATCAAACGTGCCTTTCAAACATTACCAGCCAAATTAATGTCATTTTTTCCTGCTGATCTGATCTGATGTGATTTTATCAATGATAGACAGTGTTCACCAGGCTCCCTCCTTTCTGACCTTCAGGAAACAGGTGAAAGTTGAGCTTTTCATAGAGGCCTTTGGTAACATCTCCCCCTTTTAATATATTTGCAGACCCCTTTGTTTTGAAATGACTTTTATTTGCTATTGTCTTTGGAGCATTTTCGTTGTTTTTCTAATTGGATGTATATACCGGTGGATGAGTTCTTAATTCTTTTTATTGCTGTTAGCTGCCCAGAGTACAATAGTGCTCTGTCACTAGATGCAAGATACAAATGTAATCAGTCAGTGAATCTTGGGCAGCTGCAGCTAGACCAGGACCAGGTACTCTTCAGCCACTGGGGTTTGCCATGCACAGCGGCCTTTTTTCAGCTAGGTTGATTATCAGTGCATCAAGCAGCCTGTACATTTCTATGCATTATGTGGTGCTAGAGTCCAGCAAATCCCACAGCATTTCTCAGGTAATGTGAAACCAGTCCTCCAGCAATGTGTGAGCCATAGTTTGATTCAGCTTCATATTTCCCTATCCACTGGACAATATGGGTCCACAAATCCCACTGCAGACTGGTGGGAGGAGTGCCACTCTGGCAAACCAAAGTGGAAAGCATACAGTAGCACTCCAACGGTGTCCCATTCTGCCAGCCAGCGACTCCCCAGTCTCAGTGGCTGGCTGGGAGGTGACGCTGTGGGACATTGCTGTGTCTCATGGGAGACACCAGGAGTGACAGAATATGGCGATCAGCTGCCCCTGCTGCTCATGCATTGCCATGCTGCAGAGTAGAGCATCCCTGATGGGGAAACCTTGCTTGCCTCTCTCCCTGTCCCCTTGTATTAACTTTCTGCAGTTTCAGTATAAGAATTAGATACATGAGCCTTGTTACTTGATTGATTCTTCTCCTTTTCATTTTGTCAGGCTTTGTAAAAGACAGTTTTGGTCTACAGAATCATTTGATAACATAATGGTCAGAATGTCAGAGTAAAACTAGCTTATATTTTCTCTGCTTAAGTCTTGTGCGAGTTTCCAAGTGATCTACTCATGTGCATCCATGTAGATTTTCTTAAGAAGTACCAATGAACTATTTTTAATTCTTTACATTTTCTTGGGTGGCGTTTGAAAACTATTTTTAACCATTTACAACAGGAAACCTAGATAAACATGTGGAGTTAGAAAACCTGGTGGCACAGTTCCTGGGCGTCGAAGCATCTATGGCATTTGGCATGGGATATGCCACGAATTCTATGAATATTCCAGCATTGGTTGGGAAGGTGAGTGAAAATCTTTAAGATTTTGTCTTGTCCATCACCCAGGAACCTCAAGAACCATTCTGATGATGACCTATTGCTGTGGCATTCCAGAAGTGGGATTTTTTTTAAAAAAATATTGTTAGTACTAGTGATCTTTTGTTTAAGTAATAAAAATATACTTGTTATACTGAGACAGTGAGTGTATTTTTATTGCTTAAATGAAAGATCACTGTGTGAGTATCATGAATATATTTTTTATTACCTGAATGAATGCTCACTTGCACAGTTAAGACAAGGATGAGTATATGCAGATGCTCAAATATACTCAATATACAGTGGTGCCTCGCACGAGTGCCTCACACAACGATATATTCACACAACGATGGCTTTTCCTGAAAAATTTGCCGCGTCACACAACGATGTTTCCTATGGGGAATTTTCGCACAACGATGTCCCTTTTCGCTCCTGTAAAAGTGTCTTAAACTGTTTGAAACCTGTTTTAAATGCTTGGCATCGATAGTCCAGCTTGTGAAATGTAAGCAAACTTAATTTGGTGTTGTTCTGAGTCTTCGCTAATTTTTGGTGAATTTTTTTATTCTCCATTGAAAGCCATTGAATGGTCCATCCAATGGCTTTCAATGGAGAAAACAAAAAATCACAAAAAATTAACGAAGACTCAGAACAACACCAAATTAAGTTTGCGTAGGTTTCAGGAGGTGGGCTAACAATTGCAAGCATTTAAAACAGGTTTCAAACAGTTTAAGACACTTTTACAGGAGCGAAAAGGGACTTCGCAAACCCATTCAAATGCATTGAGTCGGCTTCAATGCATTTCAATTGGGGAACCGCGTTTCCCTCAACGATGTTTCCTATGGGGATTTTCGCTTAAGGACGGCAATCCATTCCAATTGGAACAGATTAACCGGTTTTCAATGCATTCCTATGGGAAATGGTGTTTCACAGAACGATGTTTTCACAGAACGTTTTTTTTTTGAACCAATTAACATCGTTGTGAGAGGCACCACTGTACTTAGCCTTTTCATTATCATGCTTGTATCAAAATAATTTTCCTGAGGCTCAAATAAGATTAATAGAAAAATAGGAAAGTCGTCACAGACATTTATATACTACTGCTAACATAGGGACAAATGCTTTCTTAGCAGCATACCCCTGCTCTTAGGATCTGTTGTAATTCTACAATACCACACAACTTCTGAGTTATCCAGAACTATTTTTTAGCCAGTGGGGAAAAAATAAAATACTGTAAAATTACAGTTGGTCATAAATGCCTAACCTAATGTGAATTTTGTATTTTGTTTTCTTCTGAACACCTGCTTCTGTTACTAGGACTAAGTCCAAAAATTATAAAGCTGCCAGGTTCCTCAGAATACGTTCAGCCAGGTGGTAGGAAGGATGGATTTGTTCCCCAAAGATATTTGGGTGATGCCCCTCTTATTTTCAGGCTGATCTACCTCACTAATTATCGGGATTTATTATGAAATGGAAGGGTAGTGTTTTTTAAAAAAAATGTACTCATACTAGAGTCCAACTGGATCCACCTCTCACAATTAAAACATTTTAATCATCCCATGAACTGGTGAAGTTTGTTTTTTATCGGGACTCGAGAGAGCCAGGTTTGAGTCTTTACTAAATCACAACATTTGCTTTGTGAATTTGGGCCAGCCATCCTCCCCCTTCACCTGATCTAAATCACTTGGTGGTGAGGAGGAAAAATTGAGCAGGACATAAGCTTCTTCAACCCAGTGGAGGTCAGATTTGGTTAAGCACAAATATTAAAATTTCCTACAGATTTACAGGTGTGTCCCCTGCCCATGCCTCTCAAGGAAAATATAAATTGACAGGGAGAACGTGAAGGTGAAAGTAAGGGGGAGGGGAAGACAAGCAATGTATGGTGCGCAAAGCAGGTGGTCGTGCCCAACTGGAGCTCTCCCTTGCACATGCACATTGCCCACTCCCATCAGCTGAGATGGTTTTGTGTCTCCCTCCTCTGCTTCTAATGCTAGAGCAGGACATTTTTTGAGATCAGCTCTCTTAGTGATGGTAGATGGTGCCTTAGTATGCATGTGAGCAACAAATGACCAGGATTGCTGCTGTCATCAGTTTTCTCCAGCTCTTCTCTCATGCCTGTTCTACCTCCGTGTACTTTCTGGAGTATCTTCACCCTCACTAGAGAGGGATCCCCACACCTGGATAATAAAGTTAGAAAGCATGCAAATGCAAATAGATAAATAGCTACCACCTCGGTGGGAAGGTAACGGCGTTCCGTGTCTAGTCGCGCTGGCCACGTGACCGTGGAAACTGTCTTCAGACAAACGCTGGCTCTATGGGTTGGAAACAGGGATGAGCACTGTGCCCTAGAGTCAGACATGACTGGACTAAATGTCAAGAGGAACCTTTATCTTCATTTTTAAGGGGGAAATTAACTACTCTTATTTCCTTTTTTAAATATTTTATTATTTTTAAGACATACATACCTACAGAACAAATAAAAACCTACAGGACAATCAAGAACACATAAGACCAACAAAACATATAAGCGGGGAGGTATTTCCCATACCAACTTATCTATTATATAATTTCTGACTACAGGAGATCTTATGCCTTATTCGTATACCGCATCATAGTATATCTGCATGTATCTACACGTTATATTTCATATCCCTATATTGTATATCTAATTATGTGTCTAACGTCCTAAGTTTATAGTAAATTTTATAAATTCCCTCACCTGCATTTCCATCTATCTAAATCACATCATAAACATTTCTCATTTCCTCTTTAAGATTACTTACCCACCAATAGAATCTACACAGGCCAGTTCATTCATCAAAAATCTCCATGTTTATAGACAGAAAGATAATATATGTCTAATCTTGTCAACATAGTCACCATTATAATTCACACCTATTTGATATTAAAATATACGTGAATCACAAACAAAAGCATCCAATATTATTATTCATCATCATTTCTAAAATTCATGAATTAGATGTGCTTGTCTAGCATTAAATTTCATATCTGGCCAAATTTGCTTATAGTAAGATTGGCCTCTTGCCTCATTTTTTCATTATTTTTTTTACCAGTTTTGAAACGGCATCCATAATATTTCTTTAAGACATTTTCTATCCGGTTGACTAAATTCATCCTAATATAGTCAGTGTTTTGGTTTTGGAGCAACATAGATCTGTCCGATCTCTGATCGTAAATTTCTGCCCTCAAATTTGCCCATTTCTCCCCCTTTAAATTCTTTCCTGTCGGAACAGTCTCAATATATTTTTCCCCTTCTTTCCAACCTCCCCTTTCTTCCTTTTTAAACATCTTGTCCAACTTTTGAAGAAAAACAGTCTTCCTCTCTCTCTCTCTGTCTCTGGTGACGGCAGTTGTTAAGTTCAATGGTTTGTTTATACTGCTTTAAAACAGTCTCTCTCTCTGACGATAGTAGTTGTTCATTAAATTCCGTGGTTTGTTTAAGCTGTTTGTCTTCATTCTCTATCTTTCCATGCAGTCCAAGAAGTATCATCTTCAAATCTGTCGTCACTTCTAAGAGCTGAGCCTTGATATAATTAATTATGTCCAATTGGCATTCTTGAAGAAGTCTCTTAAAATAAATCTCCATTGTGGGTTGCAATAATGAATCTCCCCTCCCATCAATGGCTATAAGCAGTCAGCAGGTTAATTACTGAGATTTCCCTCATGATTTATTAGCTAGTCCACACTTAAAGTCTAATGAAAGGGGACTCTAAACGTAACTCCAGCCGTGCCAAGGATGTTATTTGATTTATAATCCACCTTGTAGCTAGATGCAAAGTCACATAGATTAAATTGTGCAGAGTTATTTAAAGTTCTTAAGTCCTAAATTTATGAAAAGCCAGTTCTCTGGGAGGAAGGGTTAAGAGAGAAAAAGAACAGAGTTGGTTTTGTTTTCCGAGTTGTGACGCAGTAAGAAAAACTCCAATGTTACAGGCATTAGCAAAGTTATGCCGGTATTAATCTTCCTCCTTATCAGCTTCCAGAAGAGCAGATCTGATTTTTTACTTGCTGCAGCTTAGCAGCAGATCATTAATCTCTGTTCCTGCACTCAGATAATAAATCTTCTACCTCCCCCTCTCCAGGCAGCTAACCCACCATCATGGCGACTTCACGAGACAGTTGCGTGTGGGAAAGGAAACTCTTCCAAAAGACAGACCACCACCTGAAATTCGGCGTTTCCAAATCCCCCATTTGCAGCAAGTCCACTCTCTTGTAAAAATTTGCCCCCCCTTCTGTGGGGTCTTCTGACTCGGAGTAAACCCAGAGCCCTTGAATTTCTCATGTTCTCGCTGCCCATCACTCCGCCCCTCCCCTCTTATTTCCTTTTGTATGGTGTATGATGTTTGTTTATTGCATGACTGCAGTGAGATCAGAATTATATGAGAGAAATGCAAATTCTACAATTTCAAGAGTTTGTTATACCTGTGTTAAAGGCCAATATTCATTTGCTTACTTTTATCTTAAGTATGCCAAATGAGGAAATCACCATTCCAGATCTCAAGCTGAAAATTCCTTTTAAAATATGGCAATAAATCAGTATTTTCTAGTGTTTTTCATAAAATAGACCTTTGGAGCAGACACAAGTTACAATAGCTTAAAATGCAGATCTCTAGTTGTCAAGATAAAAAAAGTAGCCCGATTAATTTCTTACCACACAAAACATCAGCTTTCTAATATGTGGTACTTCCACAGTGTATTTTGGTGATAACTTATTCTGGTCTGTTTTTTTACACATTTGGTCTGTTATATTTCAGGTTTGAAGTACTGAGTCCGTCATTCTTTTGACACTGGCAGCCAAGAAATACCACAGCAGTCAGGGCTAATCAGTGGCCACCGATGCTGCTTGCAGGAATCATAAAGGATCCTGGCCTGGACCACCATCTCCCAAAACCGCAGTTCCATGAATATTTTATTTTATTTTTACCCCGCCCCTCTAGACCAAGTCTACTCGGGGCAGCTATTATGGTGTATTTTGTTTCTTGTGTTTTTGTTTACCACCTCAGGTGGTAAATCCTAGCTAGCCAAGATTGCTTACAGTACAATCTTCAGAAGCAAAGATATCTGCTGACTGAGCTTCTATTCAGACATCTAAGGCTGGACTGAATCCAAACCAATTCCAGCCTTGTGTTGTTAGAAGATACAACTCCACTGATCCTGGCCTTACTTATTACTGGCATAATGACTGTGAGTCTGATCTGAGATGGGTTTCTATTTGGTGTAGCTCAGCTCCTCCCCTTTTATTAAACTCTTCTAAAAGCTGATCTCAGCTGGTACAGCAGGTGTACTAGCAGATTTAGTTGTGCTGACATTTATGAGATCGGCCATCACAAGGGGCAGTGTGTCTGTGAGAGGCAGCACAAGGACAGTTTGGATTGAACTGCCAGTACTTTAGAATGAAGGATGGATTGACATGTGTTTAATAAATAAGTAGTATAAGATTCGGTTTTTGACTTTTAACACATCAATGCAACAATGTGGATTGGTGTGTTTATTCTAACTCTCTGTAATTCATTATTTTCTCCACAGGGATGTCTTATTTTAAGTGATGAATTGAACCATTCTTCACTTATTCTTGGTGCACGGCTCTCAGGTGCTACAATCAGAGTCTTTAAACATAATAGTGAGTATTGATTATGCATATTTTATGTTGGGGATGGCTCAGTGAAATGAAAGTGACATGTGCATAGTTGGGGGATTTTCTGCCACTCGGAAGATTTCTGTCTGGAGATGATGAATTTACATTTCTCTTATGTAACAAAGCTTGCCATTTTACATGAAGGAGATAATAAATTGCTTGGTTTGAAACATGATTTTTCATTTGTAGTATGTGGTACTTTTGGGCAAAGATTTACTGAAGCTTTTCTCTGTTGTAAAATAATAGATAACGTCTATTTTAATATTATTAGGAAATCTTCATAAAAGATTGTGACGTTTACCACGTAACCCCTGCTTGTTTCCCCAAGCAAAGGGCTCACATTATGTCTTCTCACCAGCAGATAACACTTGGGATGTTCCCCCCCCCCTTTTTTCTCACTGCCACCAGTGGATTTCCTTTATCCACAGGAAATAATGAAATTTAGTCAGACACTTGTCAGGTTGCTGCCAACAGAACTTATTTATTGAATAGTATTAACTTTAATCAGAATCACAGATGTTATTTATTCAATGCATATAATCAAATCATTCAAATATTGTATATCTTGCCACCTTCACCACCTGCTCTATTTATCTTGACCAGTTTATCTCTATTACTATATTATTTCTTCTCACTATCTCTCTCTCTCTCTCTCTCTCTCTCTCTCTCACTGCTAATTCTCCTCTCTGCTTCTCTTCTGACAAACCTTGTTCTCTCTGCTAACTCCGCCCCTCCACTCCTCTCATAGGCTCATGCAAATGAGAACCGGACTGTGAGTGATAGGGAGTGACATGGGGCAACCATCACAAGGATGAACTCAAAAGTTATGCTTAAATGGCAGATACATGCCGACCATACACTGAACTATTGCCTAATATATGTTGATCTGGAGTTTTTCAGTGTACATTTACACTTGAGGCAGTAGTACATCTTAAACAGGATGGTAAAAGAAGACTGGAAATGCATCTCTTTGTGAAGAGATAATTTAAAATATATTTCCATTTTTACCTAACCACAATTTTGTAACACCTCTCAAACATCTATGATTTATTAATGTTGTATAGCTATAAGGTGCTTTGAGCACAATGGCTGGAATCCAGTAGTAAGTCATAGTTAGAGCATGCTCATTGAATCAGTGGAATTTATGGAGGAGTTGACTACCAAATCCCCACTAATTCTTTGTGTCTACTCTAGTTGCAGCTTGCTACTGGATTTCAGACACTACTTTATATAGTTGCTGTAATGGGGCTTATGTGATTCCTGTAGCCAGCCCCAGTTAACAATCTGTGTGTAACATTTTGGACCCACTGAAGCTTCTGAGCAATTTCCAAAGGTAGCTCCATGTAGAGCACATTACAATAACCCAGCCGGGATGTAACTAAGGCATGTGTTACTGTGGCCAGATCAACCTCTCCAGGAACAGTTTTAACTGTGCAAATGCAGTCCTGCTCACAGCAGAAACCTGAGCATCCAAGCTCAAGACAAATTCAGGAGCACACCCAAGAACCCAGGAGCACAGGCTGTGACCTTATTCCTTGCTTTGCCTTTCAACCGATCAGGAGCATCTCGTGTGTTGTTTGGATTGAGTTTCAGTTTATTCAGCTTCATCCAGCCCATTACTGACACCAGTCACTAATCTAGAGCTGAAATTGCTTCCTTGGATTTGGATGGAAAGGAGTGAGAGTAGAGTGTCATCTCCATACTGGTGACACCAAATTCCAAAACTACCATCCACATGGTTTCATGTGGATGGTAAATAGCAAAGGGGACAAAACAGAGCCCTGAGGGAGACCACAGGCAATGGCCAGGAGGTCAAACAAGAGCCCCCCAGTGCCACCTTCTGAGTTGTCCCTTCCAGGAAGATCCAGAGCCACCATAGAACAGTGCCTCCAAGTTCCATCCAAGCAAGACAGCCCAGAAGGATACCATGGTCACTAGTATTGAAAGCTTCTAAGAGGTCCAGCAAAATGAACAGGGACATACTCTCCTGTCCAGTTCCCAGCATAGGCAACCAAAGCAGTCTCAGTCCCATGACCAAGTCTGAAGCTAGACTGAAATGGATCTAAAGAATCATTTCATAGTTGAAACAAGCCTTTGTAAATATTGGTTTGCAGTTGCCTTTTTTTCACCTAATCATAACAGAGATTAACCAAACTTCATAAGGTTCAGAGAACACAGAAAGCTGTGGTTCATTTAAATAGAAAGAAAAGCTTTCAAATCGTCATCACAGCCATGCTGAAAAGTGAAGTGGGGTGTAATTGTGCCAGGCAGAGGCTAACTGAGATGCACTGTAGTAACATTAAAGTATAATATAGCACTACATCTAAGCCAGCCCATTGTGTGTAAGATTTGATCAGGTACTAGAGATATGGTTTTCTCATGTTTGACAATATGGCTGCTATTCTTAGTCATTCTTCCCACCCAACAATTATCTCTGTCTGATAAGCCTAAGGTGGTAGCCTTGGTAAATAAAGTTGAAACAAAACAACATTGGGTGGAGAATTTAGTTAACTCTTTCTCTGCAAGATCCCAAGAGAGGTTTTCCTATATTGTAGTTCCTCAAAGTTCCATTCCATCAAAAATTGTCTTTTCAGAAGCTACATCTGCTTGTTCATCAAAGACTTACATCATGTATTGGTATACATCATAATCAGAACTGTACACTCTACTTCAGTGATCCTCACATAGCAATGCATCGCCTTCAGCAGGGCAATTGGGATTTCAGGAGAAGCATGTGTAATTTGAAAAAAGATTCTGTATGTCATATAAATTTTATCTGAGAAACATATTCATTGGTGTTTTCAGCAGTGTTTTAATACAAAGTCTGTTTTAATATGATATGTTTTAGCATATAACTGCTATGGATTCGCTGCATCCATAGAAGAGTGATGACATCACCAGCAGAGGGATGCCATCATCTCTTTCTTTCCTTCATCTTTTCTGATTTATGAATAATCCTTTCATTGAGGGGAAGCCATGAAACAGGAAGAGGAAGTTTTTGTATTTGTGAAAATCTCCCCTGGCCAGTAACACAATCAAGTAGTGTCAATTTTTTGTAATGAAAGCTTCCCCCTCCTGTCCCTTAGATCTCACAGCTTCCACTCAATTAAGGGGATTATTTGCAAGTCATAAAAACTGTATCAGAGAAGAAGAAAGTACTTCTCCACTGAAAATCTCTACCATCCATAAGTAAAATTATACCAAAAAGGATGCCAGCCAATGTACTTATAGGTATATGGTTTGTGAGCTAGAAGGAAGTATAGGAAGGAAGGAATTCAGTATGTATCTGAATAAATTAGCATAATGTGCTTGGTATCACAAGATCTCAAAACTAAAATGTGCCTCATCAGCAAGTGGCAATTTCAGGGCTTGAAGGTAACCAGTTACAAAAGTAATTATTTGTAACTAGTAACTGTTGATCTGTAATTTGTAAATACTTACAGATACCTAATTGCTTGTAATTATGACCTCCCTGAATTATAGCTGCATTGCAATATGACAGTTAACAAGGGATAACTTCACTTTTTTTAAAGGTTTAATTGTCAGCTTTACTAATGGAGATGTGGCCTCACTTATGGGCAGAGGAGAAATACAGTACCACATGGTTCACATGCTGGCTTCTGATGTTGTCTCATATTTTTTATGAGTTTTGAGGAAGTGATAAGATAAACAGGAGGAGAGTGCAATCCTGACTTTCTCATATCTTACGAACCGATATGCAGCGTGCCCAACATACTCAGGACTTGGCATGTGCATTATTTTCTGTTGGGACTCTAGCAACCACTAGGGTAGCTGTCTTTTCCATTAGCAACCTAGGCCTGAGCTGGGCCTATCCTGGCCCATTAGGTCTTCCAGTTCAGCCTTTCTCTAGGTCAACACAATTTAGGTATTTGTCTAGAGAACAGAACAAACAGTGGAAAATTCTGGGATTTAGAGCCCAAACAGAAAGGAACGAGCCTGCTGACTTTGGGTAGGTCAGGAGAAGGTATACCTCACTGGTAAAGACTGATGCTGAGAAGAGTTGAAGGCAGCAGAAAAAGAAGACCCAGTATGAAATCAGTGGACTCAATAAAGGAAATGACAGCCTTGAGTTTAGAAGCGCTAAAAAGGGTTGTTAATAATAAGTCATTTTGGAGGTCACTCATTCAAAGGCTTGCAAATGTCTGAGACAACTTGGCAGCACATAACAAGAACAACTGCTATGCAATGTGTGAATGAAACCTTGAATGTACTTTTGAATTATTTACACATCTGGAATGTTTCTGGTTCTTTAATTAATGTGAGATTGTTGTAGTCCTACTGTTTAATGCCAAGAGAACATAAGAAACAGTCTATGTTTCTTCTGTTTTCTTGTCATCAAGGTATGTATGTATGCATTCATGCATTCATGCATTTATTTGTTTGTTTGTTTGTTTGTTTATTAGATTTATTCCCTGCCCATCTAGACACATGTCTACTCTGGGCGGCTAACAATTTTAAAAAAGGTAGCAGTTCCATCTCACTAACCTACTAGTGCTGCAGATGAATTCCCAATTGTGATTTCTGTCACAACACAAACATTTGTGCCATGCATCTAAGTCATTAGCATGGATTTCATTTGAGCTGTATTTCACTCCCCTTGGAGTTAACACATTTCTGGATTCGACTAATATTATTTGGATTTGCATAGTACCATCTAGATCCTTGAGTAGCTCCAGTGCAAAGACAGAAAATGATGGATGAGATCTGTGCAAGAAAATAGCCTTAATTTGAACTGACTAGATTTCTAATTAAGGAAAGCAGGTTACTTTTCCCTTAACCACTGGTTTTATTCCTTGTTTTACCACCCTACAGTTTAGTCTTGCCACTAGAAACAATCAAGTAAATCTTTCTTTAAGAATCATTACTGTGATTACCGGTATCTCAATTGAACAGGTTTGGCCAGCAAATTGCCCAAGCTCACATTTAGTTGTGTTCATTATTATAAAACCATTGAAGCCAGAGTTCTACCTCGTTTCCCAAAGATTCTGGAGAAGGACCTTTTCAAATGTTCTGACTATCTGTAACTCATTGTAACTAAGAGGCAATTGCATACTGATGTTTGTATGTGCACATTGTTGTGTTCAGGGTTACAACAGTAAAAACAGATTGTGCACATTTTTAACTTAACAAAACTCTGGGAAGATTTAGCCTGACTTTGACCAAAAGACTCCTACGGCCAAAAAGTAATCTTCCAGAAAACAAGCTGTCAGCTCAGGTCATGCCCTCTGCCAACTGGTGCTGCTGACAAAGAGAACGTCTAAAAGAATTAAGATGGTGTTGGAGTCAAGCCATTCTTGCCATAGGATCTATTTTTCTGTCTAAATCAATGGTGAGCAACATGTAACAGCCCCCCCAGGTTACATTCTTGTGCTCCTAGCCTGCCAAAAATTAGAAATTATTTTTCACAAAATATTGCTCAAAATGTCACCTTCCTCTAGGAGGCATGGTGACAAAGTTAGAATGCTTTATGGGGCTTCTAGAAAACCAGGAGCCTCACTTACCCCCCGTTTTAAAAACTATATTTTTGGCCTCTGATTGAACGGGAAGGGAGATCAGTTAAAAATACAATTTTTAAGTTGAATCAATTTTTTTTTTCAGTTAACCACCCATTATACCAAACTATACAGTTTGCAGCCATCGTCAACAGGCAAATCGGTCCTTGTGACCACACCTTTTTTGGTCCTGTCCACCTGGGAATACATCCCTCAAGCCTTCAGACAGATTTGAAAAATGACCCTCAGCCCTGGTGAGATTGCCTTTCCAGGTTTAAAGGATCGTAAGGTACACATGCAAGCCCACTTACTTCCTCTTCAGAATAATTTCAGTTGAGTAGGAGCAACACCCATCACCACCAAAATCAAATAAAACATCTTCAAATTAATAAAATAAATAGAAACTAACAATAATCATGGACAAAACATCCAGGTCAAAGAACGCTAGACTCTAATGCAGCATTGCAGCTAAAAATCATTAGTAGTTCAATGAAACAAGAAGAATGGTGCAATTAAAAAAAAAAGAAAAAGCAGTACATTAGTATGTTCACTAAAGCCTAACTTTCCCAGAGAAAAAACATTAATGGCAACTCAACTTTTTCTAGAAGGAAGGGACCTCTGCAGAAAAGGCTCTCTACTAAAATTGCTGTTTAGAGTTCATTCACGCTAATCCTTCTGTTATTAAGGCAGTGCTTGTTATTAAGCTGTGGAAACCTGAAAACAAAGTTATATACTCCATTATTGTTCTCCTGTCAAGCAAGACTTCTTAATTGGTTTGTTTGTTGAGGATAAGCTCTCTCTCTCTCTCTCTCTTAATTAGTCCATGATGGAAACAATTAGTGATTTTTAGTTGTTTTGAAAAAATTAAATTTGTTTTTAATTTTGATTTATATATTTATATATGTTTAATTTTCTTAATATAGTTTCTGTGATATTTTAAAGCTGTTGATTGTTGTATACCGGTAGTTTTAATTGTTGTTAGGTGCCATGGCTCTCCTTTGGGGAGAAAGGTGGCATATTAAAAAAAAGGAAAGAAAAAATATTTATATAAGTCTATAGTGGTATTTCCAGCTTTATCCTTTCTAGATAACTGGCACAAATTCTGAAGCATTTCTGGCCTATGTGCATATGCACATACACATTTACGCTTCAAGGCGATGAATTATTCTTCAATAATTCCTTCTGTATTAAAATGTAGATCTTACTTCATTATTATCAAATTTGTACCCTAAGAATAATTATTATCAAGTTGGTTCTGACTTGTGGCAATGCTTGCCAAGGATTCGTAGGTATAATGTACTCAGAAATGGTTTCCCAGTCCCTTCTTCTGGTGTGCTCTGGAGCTGTGCAGCTTGCTG